CTGTTTGTTTCTGAAGGTGCGCAGGGGATCGCGGTGTTTGCTGTGACAGCAAATTTGCCGATCCCCCTCCCTGTTCACCGAAAGTTGTAGTTTATCCTTTGTCTTCGGTTGCTGAGTACCATCCTTCTGATACACAGACCGAGCGATTTTTTGCCGCTTTATGAAGAAAAAACTTCAAGGTACTACGATGAGCGGAGATAATAATTTAGCCATCAGCAAGATCGACGTTGACGAAGTTACTGATAGAATGGCAACAGCACGGATCGAAACATAATGTCATCAGAAGTAAGCGTTGCTGACCAACTTCAACGCTAGCCATTGTATAGATATTTATAAATGCAGCTTCTGAACATCCAGGAACTTTAAGCCGGTTTCAGACTACATCAGACCGTAAAAAACTATATTTCTCATCAGCATCATCGTTTATATTTCTCATCAATCTTATCATTCTTAACTAAGATTCTCAAACAGCTGACTGTCGCATTTTCTTATAGAGAAAGTGAACATTAGGAACAAGCACCTTGGTCTAAAGTGGAAACAGACTACAAATAAAGCAATGATAATGGCCGAAAGCCATACAACAACTGAAATTACTAATCACCATTCACTCCAAGAATTGCACAAGACCTGACTGTGGGATCCGGAATAATTCCTCATGTCGTCTACGTAATAAGTTGAGAACCACAAGTGAACATTTTTACGGTTTCATTTAAGTCATCTTCTTCAGTAAGAAATGTGAATTGCGACTGAGCGTCAAGTAACAGCTCCAAATGTTGATGTCTAAGAAGCAGCTTCATGACGAACCATTTGACTAAGAAAGGCGAGATTTCTAAGAATCAGCAACAATAATAATGACTACTTTGTTTTTACCTTTTTACTCCTTTATCAATGTATTTCCATTAAACACCAGTTTATTAATATACAGAGCAAAACGGTCAGTCTATCGAATGATATGCATTAACACTGGCGTTTCGGCCGATATCTTATGGGCCTTTCTCAAAGCAAGGTCTGTGGTTGTCTGCAATAGCATATTTCTATTTCGAACAGTAAGGTCTAGGAACTCTAAAAAACCCAGCTACTACGAACGCCATTAATAACAACCGAATATTACCCAGTTACATTCTGAAGAAAAACCGTGAGATGCAGCGAATACGTTGATATTGAGACCCTTCGCATGATAGACTGTCTGTTTTGTTTGGACCCTAAATGAGCAGTTTTTCTACTATCAGTTCTCCCGGCGAATTGGCGCGACATAGGCGCACCGTCCGTTTGCTTCTAGTAGCCTAATGGATCACTTAGACAGGCTACCTTTCCATGGGATGTTAGCATTCGCATTGCCGAGCAGGGCCGAACAGCAATCTCTTCTGAAACCGACCCCGCTCAGGAATGCGGTTTTCCATCGATGCCCTGCATGTGCTACCATACCATGAAG